AGCATCTCCAGGGCTTGAGCAACAGATAGGATTGAAGCTCCTTTACAGAGTTAGAAGTTAGACCCCATTTCCAGTCCTCAGAGGATGTAGACCTTCACAAAGCTCCCGTTGATGTGTGTGCTCAGCATGCATGGTGAGGACAGGACCTGCAGGTGAGGATAGGATGGCAGGCAGTCATTCAGCCATCAGGAGAGGGAGCAGGGTAGCTGGAGGAGCAGATGTCTCACCCCATGTACCCAACAAGCCTGCATCGCCGTGGGGCTTGCTGGCTGGCCCACACAGCCCCTACAACATCATGTCCATAAGTCAGATGTGAGCTCAGCAAAGGTAAAGCACCCTTCCACTACTCCATGAAACCTCACTGTTCGCTTTTCTCCCTCCAAAGGAGTCCACAGACTTGAGTTTTTATTTTCCTGGGCAAAGGGGGGGATGGGGTGAGTAAAGGATTTGCTTTGTTACTGGCAGCACTCACCAACCAAGTGTGGGCCTGCATCTGCTGCTGAGATAAATCAGAGGAGATGGCAGGGTGGTCGGGCGAGCATCTGACCTGGAGCTTTAACAGAGCATTTAATTTACAAGCAGGGGGAAGGTTTAATATTTCCGTCCCTCTGTAAACATTCGGCATCCCCCCACCTGTCCCCTGGGCACTTAGTCTAACCGCCACCAGCGGAGGAACAGAGCCCAGGCTGATTTTGCAGGGCACTGCAGCAAAGCATGGATGTTGAGCAGAAGCATTCAGCACTACAATATTGCAGGAACGGCCCCAGATATCAGCAGCTGAGGAGCAAGTGAACACCTGGCCAGCTGTGGTGCATTTATTGCTATATAACATTTTATTCAGAAAGATGTGCAACCAGATGCTGGCTGTGGCAGGTAAGATATAGAAAGTTTCCAGTTTCAGTATCTCTGTGAAGACCTGGCTCCCAAAGCATGCTGACCCCATCACTGGTTCGCGGATGCATCCCTTTGTGTCCCATCCTCAGGGCTCTGTCCTGACCACACATCCTGACATCTCCCCATGCTGTAGACCTGGCAGGATTTGGCTTCAGCAGGCTCAAGAAGGAGAGCATCACATCCGTCCTGTCAATAATTTCATGTTTCAGTGGCTTGGGGATTTCTCCAGTGCCTGGGGCGGTGTCTCCTGAGTCGTGACTCACGGTGGGACAGCCAGGGTGTCTGTCAGCAGTGGGAAAGCCTTGCCTCCCTCTTCCTGCACTTGCCTGATGAGCTTTGGGGAACAGTGCCCCAGAGTACTCCGCGGCTGGCCGGATTACCAAAGATCTTCAGCTGAGATCTTTTCACACGGTGCAGAGTGCCAGCCGCTGAGCAGCTAACCTGATATTGAAGGACACATTGCATTACAGCCTCTGGAACAGCTTTGTTTTAAAAGTGCCGTCTTTTGTCTGTAACTCTTCAACTTTGCGTCTCTTTTTACCTTTGCTGGGGCTGCTCTCTGCTTCCCTTTTAAGCCCTTATTTTTCTTCTCCTGGTCAACATTTTCCCTCTCTGTGACACGGTTGTGGTTTCACATCACTGAACCCAAATTTTAGCCCTAAATTGTCCTAAATCTAAACTCCCTTGGCTGATGAAGAAGGAGACACTCCCTAAAACAAATCTTCCCTACTCATTTTGATTTGTTTTTGGTTAGGCTGGCAGAAATCCTTTCCAGGAGTTTCCAGTATCTCTCTAGCAGATGTAGAGCAAGTCTTATTTATATGTCACCCACTTTTTAGGTAGCCAGAATACAGTGAGATGACTCCTGCCTCTATTTTCAGAGAAATAAAACTTTCTCTTGTAGCTTCCTGGTGGCCTTTTCAAATAAACATCAACATATGGAACGCTTTAGGGGTTTTTCCTTTTGAAGAACAAAGAGGTTGATATGACTAGACTATTAGGAAGGATTCATGTTGATACCAAGTAGTTCTATCCACTTTTAGTTCACATCAAACTGTTGTTTGGTTCATCCCTAAAACAGTTCACACATACAACGTGGGGGTGAGCTGCCACCTCCAGTTGTGACAGCTGCTGTCTTGCTTAGTCTACAGGAGCTGGACGGGAGGCTTTCATAGTGAAAACCATGAATTTTCACTGCTTCTTCCCCAAATCATCTTCTCTCTACCACCTGGGACCCTCAATACAACCAGAAGCCTTGTGCAAGGTCTCACCAGTGGGTTAGACTGGCAATTCTCATCGCCAACACCTCTTGAATGCTTTTAAAGCATAGTATCCATGGGAATCACTTCACCTAGGACTTGATTACAAATACTCCACAACAGGATGAGACTCTTGTTTCTGGCAGAGATTTCCTGTGTGGCCGATGGATCAGCGAAGGATGGTTCTGTTCAGCCAGGCACCACTGCGTCTTCATTGCCCTCCTTGCGTGCTGGTGGAATCGTGTCTTTTTAACAGCTTTCAGGAACACATAACTCTAAAGGGAGGGAAAGGAAGAATATTGCTTCCAGTTTAAGCCAGTATTAAATCCACATTTCTGAGACCAAGTATTCAGAAGCATGAGTTCTTCTGCAGAAATCAGGAAATAAACTTTACATCATAAAGGCTTATTTAACATGAAGAAGTATGAAAGGGATACGTTTTGATTTCAAGTCTTTCAGGCCTTTAAATGTAAGTTTCTAACTGTATAGGCCAGTTCCAGAAGTTAAAGAGCCCTTTCTTATTCTCAGCAAACTCTGAGATGATATGCAGCCATCTGACTCCAAGAGCAGTGCTCTGAGGAAAAACACCTGTAATTTGTCAGGGTGGGCTGGGGGGCAATTTTAATGAAGAAATTTGATGAAAGGATTCAATTCTTCCATTCTCCTCCTCCCCCCAGCCCAAACCTGGAGGTGAAAATGCGCATGCAGATCAATTTAAATCATAGCTTCAGGCTATGGGGTTTTGGCCCTCTCAGTGCTTACTGTTAATATCAAAGCTTGAAGAGTTCTACCTGTGGAGCAATATTTTTTTTTTTTTTTTACCAAGCTAACACTCCTTTCTCTGACTGTAGCTAGAGAGCTACAGAGATGTGGCAGAGCTGGGTGGAGAGATGGACATCCCTGGCTTTTATCCCTGGCTCTTCCTCACCACCACCACTGACCACCTCCCCTGAATCACCAGGGCTGGTAGCTCTGCAATCACTTTCAAACACAGCCTCCTCAGATTGGCCTGGGTCGCTTTTTGGAGCACTTAACCAGCAGTTGAGCTGGTGGGTTGGGAAGGGAATAGAGATGAACAGCTGGAGAGTAATAACTTTCTAAGGGGATCGGCTGCCACTGGAACAGCACATCTGATCGCAGCTTTACTGCCAAGCATCTGTTTTCCTCCTGCCTCCTGATGTGGTCCAGCTTCTTTGCTCTGACTCTGCTCCTTTTCATTTTGGCGATTGCGTTTCTCCAACCCTTACACATCCTCCTGGGTACAGAAATGGCTCAGCAACTCCTTGTCAGTGCAATTGAGAACTGCCCCCCATCCCCTTGGGTGCTGTTCTGCCTAACAACGTCATGCCAAACTGGCTTAATCAAGCTCCCCTGAAACAGTCAGATCTCTGGGGAGTCCAAATTTGTATATTTTCATAGGCAGAGTAATATCACACAGAGTATTGAATGACAGTTAAAAACCACATCTGGATCTTGCTCTATTATAATACATCCATAGCCCCAAGGGGAAGCAGTGTGGTTTAGTGATTCATGAAACCTGGATTTTATTCCCAGCTCCTCCACTGCCTCCTTGGGTGACCTTAACTAAGTTTTTTTCACTGTTCCATGTTTCCACTTTGCCATCTGTGAACATGAAGAGCAGTGATGCTACCTCATGCCCAAAGGCCCTCGGCATCTGAAGACAAGTGCCAAGTGTTATGCTCAGCTTCACACACCATCTTCTCTTGGGCTTGCATGACAGCAGGCAGTGCACTCCACGCTCTTTCTCCCCATGCACACACAGGTTCCTCACATGTAGGTGCACCTCTGCGGGTTCTGTGAGGCTCCTGCACATTTTTCCTCTGCCTCCACAACTGGCCATGCCCAGCGTATCCAGAGCTGTGATCCTATGCCTGCTGTATGAGACCCAAAACCAGAAGGGAAGGCAGATCATGGAGCAGGATCTGGGGACTGTGCCATCTAGTGTATCCTCCTAGGAAGCACCATGTTCAGTGGCAGCCCTGTCACTTCACCAGCTGTGACAGACGTATTTCATGGCCTTACATACCAGTTTGCCTCTTTGTGTTGGCAGAGAGTTCTGTGCAAATTGAACCTCCCAGTCTCCCTTCTTACATAAAATCTCTGGGAGAAAAAAATAAATAAATAAAATTAAATTTAAAAAAGAAAATAAAAGACAAGAAAAACAAACAGTGATTATGAGATAAAAATTGTGTCCCTTGGAGATGGTCAGCACAAAGTAGTGTTTGTCCCTCTGTGTGGTATATAGCTCATCTAGCTGCAACCTACTGAGACACAAACAGTTAAGCTCCTAAAGAGCACAAAGTGACAAGCCCGTCTTTTCCTTTGAGAAATATTCCCATATTTCCCAGGTTACAACCCACTAGATAACAACCTTGAGCTGAATGTTATCACGGCTGAGATTTCCCACCACAGCAACATACAGGATACTTTTTTGGTTTACTACCCACCCAAAAAAAAAAAAAAAATGCATACAGCTAAATAAAGTGAAGGTTCACAGTTCTGACAAAGCCTTTCAGTGGGAATCTGGGACGCTTTTCAAGTGTTACCGACTGCTTTATTTTCCCATGGCTCTTTCCAAGATAATAATTGCTCCGCAGATGTTTCCCTCAGGACAGTGAGATGTTCAGGTACTGGGGCGAAAGCTGAGGCTTTGAGCTATCATTCACAAGGCTACTGTTACCTGCTGTGTTCTTGCAGAGTGCAGCCTTTTCCCATCACAGAATTTCTTAGGCGTCTGGTTTATCAGAAATGCTGTAAATTTGAGCCCTCTGGCTAACTGTGCCTGATTTATGTGAATGACGCGGTTGTATCTGTATGCAACATGAATAAGAAAAGGGAAGACACTTTATTTCTGCCACACACAGTAACTTGCACATGCCCAAATACACAACTCTGAAATATGTTACTCAGCACTTTGGGAAGTCACGGCTGCTAGACATCCAAGAAGGTTTGTGTTCCAGCTTTCAGCACAATCCCAACTTCTGAACAGGTCCTGCAAAACTAAAAATGCAATGTTTTGTTTTGCTTTTCCACATTACATGTGCCTTTCTCTATCCTCCAACTTGCAGAAGCCATGCGGACTCTGCTTTTGTTTGAGGATGGAGTACCACCTTAGGGAGACAGGACTTCATGCCACAGTGCACAATGAAGATGGTAGTTATCACCCTTCCTAGTAGTGCTGCCACTTCTTCCTCCTTAATTTAAAAATAGGTCCCATTAAACAAGTGACTCAGGCCTTAAGAACAACTATCCCCTCCTGTGGTAATTTAAGGTCTATAAAAGTCAGCCCCACAGGCACTTACTGAATCACAAAACCAGAGTGGACAATGTTTATGACTGTTTTTGGTGGGTATGGTTACACAAACTCACGTGAGGGGAAGAACAGCTTCCATTTGGGGTGCAAACCCTGGGCATCTGGCTGCTAGGCTTTGTCTTGGTGGGCCACCTGGGGAGAATGTTGGATGTGCTCGCAGCAGTCCTTCTACGTGTTGTATGGGCTAAACCAAGACACGGGGATGGTAAGTTCAGGTACCAAGTCAAATCCAAAAGCAGCAAAACAACACTGAAAGTGCAGCACATACAGACCTTATGCAAAGAAAGGAAGGGCTGCTTCATATCCCATAAAACAGGAAAATCATCCATTTTGAGGAACTGATAGCACAAAATTGCATCCCTCTTTCTTCTGAATCTGCTCACAAAACACTGGTTTTACCTGGCTTGAAAGGACCTAGGCCAGAGTTGCAAATTACCAGCGTTGCTTTGTAGGAGCCTCCCTTTACCCAACACCTACCCTGTACAGAAAATGTGACAACCTAATAGCTCCTCCTCAAGACCTGACCAGGAGGTCATTCAGATAACGGAGAACATGGTGCATAGAAAGATCTCTTTCTTTCCTTCCCACAGAGCAGCCTTTACACAGGACCTATGAAATTACAAGGAATATCTTGCAGTCTTCCCTCTGCTGCTGTAGGTCCAGCTAACCCATGTGTCACGCGTTTCCAGACACAACAGAGGTTCTCGTTTCTCTGCAAGTGTAGGGAAGAGGAAAGGACTGAGAATCCCTGAATACAGCTGCAAAACTTGGCTTTGACTTTGTTGGGCAGAATGTTGAGCACTATAGAGGTCTGGCCAGGCAGGGATTTGTGTGGAGTTAAAAGAAAAATGTACTCCGCCTTACATTTCTCTCTTAAACTGGTCTTTCTTTGCTTCTTTCCTATATAACAATGGAAGAAATATTTTCTGCCTAGTCACATTCGCACACACACACTCATACAAACCAGCCTGGAAAAGAAGCCAGATATATCACTTGGGATCTTATCCAACAGTCTCCTAGAAATAGAAAGCCAACAAGAAAAAACACTTGGTCACTGCCAGACTCCAGTGCCTCTGTCTGAGCTGAGCTCCTTGGAGCCAGAGCGGTCACTGTAATGTCAGGACATTGGCTCTCATCAAAGCTGTGTTCATTGCAAGGAGCCCTGCTTGGGAAAGGCAGCCAGCCCCACAGACGATCAGAGGGGGTGATCTTTGATCTTCAAAGCTTCCTGAGAGCCTGCAGTGGTATTGAGAGCCTGTGCCACTGCATGATTTTGGCTATGAGCGGCAATGCTCTTACAACGTAGAAACTAACAGGAATTGTTTTCCATTTAAGCTTCTTCTGCCAGAAACTCAGGACTGTGACTTCACTTGAGTATTGTTGCTATAGCCTGAATAGACAGAGGGCGCAGGACAAAGCTGGATTTGGAACCAACTTTTTTCTGAAGGACAAACGGGCCAAAATCCGAATAACACTATCTTTGTCCCCAATGCACTTGGATGCAGATTGCAGTAGTAGTTTGAGAGACCTCTTTAAACCTTAGACAAGCCACATTCCTGCAGAAGCTGCCCAAACTCACCCTACTGGGCTACCCCACAATGTCATCTACTTTATGAGAAAGCATAACACCCTCCTTCCTTCCCCATTGCACAATCCTGCAGGTGAGAGAGAAAGCAGGAGGATCACCTCCCTACAATCAGCTAATTAATTAGCACATGCCTGGGTGTAATGCTTTCAGCAAATCCCTGTCTGTTTGCTAATTAGTACCATTAGCTGGTGCCCCAGGGAACTGGCTTTGATTATCCTTCTCTTACTGATTATACAGGAACAACAAGGCAAGTACTTTCATTGGTCATAAAATTATTTCAACTCTTCTAAAAGCCCATCTACAGCCTTTAGCTCTCTGACCTGCTGTGCTGATGAGTCACCTATTCACTGACTGAAAAGGATTGCTTCTTATTACCTAACACCTGTCTTAGACAACCAGGCACGCAGGCACAGGGAAAAAAAAAAAAAAACTTCCACCACCTGTCTTTTTTGCTTTGTTTGGAGATTTGAGTATTATTTTAGGACTAGTCTAAGTGGGATGGCATATTTGCTTCGGTCATCCTGTAAGAAGCAACTCCCTACCCCAGATTCCTTGGTGACTCCTGACCGAGCTGTATAAGAAGTTAGGTTCATCACTATTATTATTTTATTATCTGTGGATACTTTTCACCTGCACCCCTCAGATCTCCAACAACAATGCCTGGGATCTCCAAGCTCCATGGAGGAAGAGAAAGAACTGAGTGTCTCCTGCAAAACATCCACGATCAATCAGAAGTTCCCTCCGTAGTTGTAGATCTGTTCACTTGTCTCTGGATTCCTAAGCATAATGGGCACCAAATAAATAAATAAATAATAAAACTTTTCTTTAAGCAGGATATATTTTATAGAGGTTCACTAGGCAAGCTGGGATGCCACCACTCTTAGCCTGGTCCTTCCCTTTGCACCTGGAGGGGCTGAGCATGACAAAAGACAAAGGCTCCATGCAGCTGGTACACTCCCCACTGAGACTGAACTCCTTTCCACAGTTATCCTGCCATACCTACAAATGTTTCCCCTGTTGACTGCCCACAGAATCTTCCAGTAATTACAGTTTTACTAGCAGAAGTCACATTTCAAGCCCATGTGCTCAAACATTTTGTAAAACCAAACGTTTATCTCTAGGAATGAAGACACTCATGCTTTTATGCTCATTCTCCTTCAAACTGGAACTTGAAGCCTGGGAAAACAGATATAATTATCTGTGTCACTCAGCTTGAGATAAAACTTGATAAAACATACATTCAAATAAGGTGCCAGTCAAATGAATGCAAAATAACTGTGAACCATCCATCCCCTCTTCATGGTTAGATTGATAGGATTAATTAATAACTGCAAATTACTTAGTTCAAAGGAGCACTTCTGTAGTAATGATGGACACTCTTAAAGAATCATGAGGAACTCTTTCAATCCTCTGTAGGCAATCTTCTTTTGTGCCAGAACATGGAGAGTGGTGGAGTGAGAAAATGGGACTTGCTAGAAGAAGAAACTAATAATGTCAAAGAAAGAAATAAAATTAAATAAAAAAAAAAAAAAAAGTGGAAGGGGGAAAAAAATGGCAAAGGCAAGGGCATAACTGTCCCAGGTCTGACAGATAAATGTGAAAGGGGTTGGTATGTAGTTGAGTGCCCTTTTTGCTGCAAGATAGAACTGAAAACAGCTGATAGGAAGAAAATGAAATGCAAGCAGACATTTTTAGCTCTCCAAGATTAGTCCACCATATGCATTTATAGTGTTTGGTAGGGACAAGAGAGGAGAAGAAAGACACTCTAAAATCCTAGAAGTGCTTTTCAACCCACAGAAACAGGAACGTTGTCCAAGGAGCTGAAAAAAACAATAGACCAGTATATTGCCAAACTACGCAAAATGGCTGACTTATGCAATTATCAGAGCCTCTATCACCAAGCAGAACAATATGCCCAAATTGAAAAGGAATGTTAGAAAGACATGGGAAGACTCAACTGAACCAGTCATATGCCAGTTTCAAAATCAGGGCTGGAAGGAAGCCGGGAATACATTGTACGAGACAAAAATTTACAAATGTTCTCATTCATCTTCCTGTCAAGCTAAGCGGGCACCCAGAGCAAAGGCCCAGCTGCCTTTTGGGTAAGGAGTTCTTCAGACAAGCTGACCTGCCACCCTACATAGCCCAGTACGCAGATGACGTATAAGCTGGAGCGTCATCCTGCGCAGTTTCTCAAGAGCATGTTGTGGAACAGGAGCCAGGATCCAGGAAACCAAAACTGATGAAACAGCCTGACCTTCTCACAACGCCCATTACAAGACAAAACAATGAAGAACCTCAGCCAGCAGTTACTGGGCAAAGAAACCCCATTTCACATCATCTACATTCATAGTTTATCCAGGAATTGCTTTGGGGTCATGTTCGACCAGATCGTTGCTACTGTCAGGCAAAAGGTGAATTTTCTAATTTTAATAAATTAAATTATAATAAATTCAATATAAAATTGCTAACACTCTCGCATAAAAAAGCAAAACCCAAAAAAAAATATTAGGTCAACCATTCTTAAATTACTATTTGCAACCTTGATAACAGCCACAATGACCAACATTAATACACACATATATAATACACCCCTCTGTGCTCTCAGTTTTAGCTCTGTTAGAGCCTGCAGCAAAGGAGTAGCAGTGGAAAAGGAGAGTAAGGTATTTATAGAATGTAGCCTACTCTGAATGAGAAGCTGAATGTTCACCTAGGACTACTGCACAAATCCCTTGTCAGGATCCAATTATTTCCTCAGAATAAATCATACTCCTAAGAGGAAGAGACAACAGTGGAAATCATAAATCCTTGTTTGTGTAACAAGCAGGTTAGTGGCCATGGGCTTCACTGAAGCCAAACAGTAAGAACTGGCTAACAGCAGAAGCTACACTCTCATCATAATAAATAAATAAATAAGTAAATAAATAAATAATTAAATAAATAAATAAAAATAATAATAAAAAAAATCAAAGGGAGGCTCCTTGTGTCGACCTTGCTACTTGTGCTCACTCTTATTTAACCCTTTCTGGGCATTTCTATAAAACAGATATTTGGCTAGGCATCATCTCTTCTGCTCAGTAAATATCAAATCGATGCCAGAACATACCTTACCCATCAGAAAATCAAATGGGGAACAGACTCCTATGGTCAGAAGACAAATGTTCATTCAATCACCAGCCCACTTGTGTAGTATTATGGTGGCTGAATACTCTTTGAAATTCTGCTTCCTAAGAGCATGTGAGCTAACAGTATCCCTCCTCTCTGATCTAAGCTGTAGTTCTTTGGATTTTAAGATCATTGCTAGCACATTAGCTACCTGAGCAGGACATGGCATTTGAGATTCATTTTACTATCTTTTATAAATGAGACTGTTTCAATGGATTGTCATACAACCGGGAGGGATGGTGCAATGCTGAAGTATAGGGAGTGAAGAGTGCTTTAGTCTCTAAACATTCTTATTGTGGAAGGACCTGTGCTGCATTCGGCCATGACTTGGTCCTCCCTTTTCCTGTGCTGGGAAAAAAATGTACGTAATGTACCTGACCTGACCCAATGTACCAGATTCTCTTTAGCTGAAGACTTGCTCAGGTCCCAAAACACAGAATGGTAAAACTGCAAGAAGTTTCACAACACAATAACGACTCACTGTCCTTATCATCACCTGCCCCGGCTGCCTTGCTCATGTGGCCTGACCAATTTCTGAACAAAAGCTGATTTGTCTGGGATGCAGCTATTTTTAAGAACATGTACCAACCGATTGCTCACAAAGCCTTCATTATTTAAGTCTGCAGTGAGGGCTTTGCAGATGTGAAAATGCTTTTATATGTTGCACACAGCCATGAGCCTGTATATTTTCTCTTTTTGTTTTGAGAAGAAAAGTTGGAACAAAGATAGCAGTACTAAACCAGAGTCCCTTTTTCTTGCTGGTAATCCTATTGGACCCAGTCCAATTCTGTGTCACCGTGTAACTCTTTCCTCTCTCGCAGTGTTTGCATCCATATCCTTCCTCTCCATATTTCCTTAAAGAAAAACTGTATGCTCTGCTAGTATTTGAGATGTAAATAGAAGCCCTGTTTGGCATCACCAACACCTTTTCCCGTATTTCAGGTTTTTCTTAAATTATGTGAGTCAAATATTTCACAAGCCAGTTCCTGCTCCATCCAACCATAAGCTTCTAGGCCAATGGAAGTGTCATCCTGCTGCTGCAATAGGGAAATCAGCAGTTGCTCTTTGAGTACAAAATAACAGAGTACCCAGGCTGTTAAGAAAGGGCATTTTTATCTTTAGGGCAGTTTTTTATCTTTTCAGAGCAGTTGAAGTACTTCAGCTCTGGGAAATAAAATTGGTCTTATTCTTTGTAGTTTTGATATTCCTATCATAGAATCTCATATAAAAATGTCACATTTTTCATAAATGCAACACCTAAAACTTTACTTTCTAACCAGAAAAAGTTAACCTTTTTAAAAACTTATCTTGAAAGTAGACAATCATCAAAATCCATGTGTGTTTGTGGAGTTTTTTTCTGTCCGTGCATTGTTATTTTATGAGAGAAAAGATGTTTCCTTGGGAGGATTTCCAAACTACCTTTACTTTACTATTTTGTCTGTTTATGTAGTATCTGAACACTGGTTCCCTGAAATTGGTAGCAATAAACATTTGTTTAGGTTGGAATTCTCCGGTCACTTATATCTTGCATGTCTCTGCAAGATACATTTCAATTCTCTGCAGAATTGAAAATGCTTTTCTATTTTGCATGAAGCCAAGAGCCTGTAGATACCTGTCTTTGTTTTCGGAGGGAAACAGAACACAGAGAGTATGAGTAAATCAAAGTCATTTATTTATATTTTTTTAATTTTTTTAAGCTTGCCAGCCCTCTTTGGTCCAATCCCAGACTCTTGAGTAGCTAGTTTCCCTGTTCTCTGGACAGCCATGCAAAGCCATAGGGTTATGCTTGCAGAGTTTGTGGTGGTTCAATTGATTTGGTGGTTGGGTTCCTAACACAGTGGCAATGTGAGGAAAGATCACACAGACAGCAAGAGCTAGTCCCTCCTAACATACCTGTCATGAAACCTGAGCCCCAAAACTTGCTGTTCTTCTTTGGAGACTGCTGCCAAACTGCAATGAAATCATATCAAGAATGAATGGAGGGGATTGTTTTATAGATTGTGTCCATCTTGCCAGTGGGATGACAGAGTCTACGTAGAATCCTGGGATAGACTAAATGACAAATGTCCACTGATGCAGCTATGTAAACACCACGGGAAATGTGTCGGGAGATAACACTGCCCAACATTTCCATTTTTAAACGTTTCATTTCTTAAGTTGAAAAAATGTATAGAGACCATGAATCTAGGAGCAGAGAGGCCACCCTAGCCCTGACCCATAGTGCTCCACTGGTTATGGCTAGGAGAAATAAAATCCCTGACAGCATGGGAGAGCACTGTGTTGAATCTGGAGTCTCTCTTTCCCCCTAGAAAAAGAGGTTCTTAACTGAGAACCCTGGCGTCTCACAGAGGATTTGCTGCAGACCTAGCCGCCATGCCCATTCAATGACTCATTTGAAAACAACCATTTTCTGAGAGTCTTTGTTTATGGATATTTGAGCAAATAAATGTCAGCTCCTCCTCTCTGGTTATTAATGATACAGTTGCTTGGCTCTGCCTGCAAAAATTCTGCATCCTTATCTGGTGCCTCATCTCAGACACAAACTGAATGACCGAGATAAGCCATGTGCATCTCCTGTACTTCAGCGTCATCAGCAACAGCTAATCTCTGGGATCACCAACCAAACTCTACCTGCAGGGGATCCATGGGGGCGGATATTGTAACAAGAGCCATCATCTCTTCATGTCCAGATATCCTCCTGGAATCCATGGGAAGGGGGTAGCACAGCCTTGTCAAAGAAAAACAGGATTAAGGTGACCTTTGTGGGAATGGTCTAGACAACCAGCCTGGTAGTCAGCTCAAGAAACTAAGGACCTTCTGATTCTTCTTTCTTTTCACATCACAATTTTCATGGAGGTTTGCATACAGATCACTGAAGATTCTGGTACAAGAGCAGTATAGCAAAGCAGGTTGGATTTTTTTTTAACATAGAAAAATGAAGTTCATCACAACTTAAATAGTTAAAAAGTTAGAGCTATTTAATTTTGCTTTAAAAGCCATAATTGGAGAAGCATATGTTCTATTTTTTTAATTCAAAATTAAAATTCCATTTTAAACTGTAAACTGTAGAACAATTTTATTTAAATCTTAAAATCTAAGCAAAGCATTTCAAAAATGTGATTTGTTACAGTTTGTCAATCTAAAGAGATTATTCATGTTTCACATCTTTCTCAACAATTCAAGAGAAGAAAAATGAATAAAATGTTCAAAGATCTCAAAAAAAAGAAAAAACATAAAGGAAAAGTTTCTGTCATCAACCTGCACTTGTCTATCAAAGGCAAACGAACTGTTTTGACTTTACCTCATAAGTGCAGTGACAGTAATGGAAAAATAGACTACAGTAACACTGTAACTTCTAAGTCATTCATTTTGTCTCTGTCTCATTTTCAGGCAATTTATTTTTCTTTGAAAAGGCATGATTGATATCTGTAATAACTTAATCTTTAATTTTATTCATGCACTTTTACCAGCCACCACCATTTATATCCCTTACACCTTTCATCTCTTATGAGGTGGAATCCAGCTGCTCATTCTCTAATGTAAGTCCCTGATTAGCTTCTTTCTACACTTGCAGTTACTGTAGCAAAGAGGCATGGAGATGATTTTATTGTTTTTGGAGCCAGAGACCTGGATTGTCCTTTATTTCCTAGCTCTCTTAAGCTAGGATACTGCAGTCTCAACCATGATTGGTCCCAAAATGCTCATGAAACTTCCTATAGTCCATGTTTCCAGACAGAACTAAGGATTGTCTTTCGTCTGTGATACTCCTATAGACTTATTGCCAAATTGTCTGAGTGTCTCATAGTCTTCCCTGTATTTATTTTCCCAGCATTTCTGGGAAAACTCTGTTAGGAATCAGACAGATTAAGGCTCTCCCTGAGCCCAGATTTTTCTTAGGTACCTGACACTTGTTCAAGTGGAAAACTCCCACTCATTTCAAATGAAAGTAAAGCTGTCAAGTACACTGGGAGGCCACAGATACAGCCACTTAATTATGGCAGCTTAGCAAGTTACCACCTCTTCCTCTGAGGTTTAAGGCAACCCCTTTAACTTCATGGTCAGGTCCTGGTCAAATATTCACAAGTGCACCAACTGATGAGCAATGAAATCACTCCCTCAGCACATGTAGCTGCACTCTCATGTTAAAGTTTATGAACTTTTTAAGTGTAAGGAACATGTAATTGTTCAGGAATAATATATATATATATATCCATAGGCCTGTTCATGTAGTTTTACTGCTTGTTTTCATCCCAGCCCATTAGAAATAAGACAAGACTTCATGTTTGTTTATCACCTTTATTTTCTCAGGTTTTGCTTCCTCTTTTGCATGTATGGGAATGCACATTTCAGCTGGGGAACAGTGTATTCATCTTGGTTTTAATTCTCAGTCATTTTGAGGTTACTTTCTGATGGATCAGTTTTCAAACATTCTTCTAAATGACTTATCTGGGGTCACATGCCAGCAGGACCTACTCCTTCATCAGTTTTGGATAGGGGCTACACTAACATCTTCAGGACTGAAACATCTTTCCCAACACTGCTCTCATGACTTTTATGCTGGTTATTCCCACAGCTGAAACTGTGGCGCACCTTGGAAATAATTTGTGATAACAGCTAAAAACATAAAAATAAAGGGAACCCACCTAACTTTTGTGAACAGATTAGGAATTGTGACAAAAATCCACAGAGTCTCAGAGCTGATAGGATATTCTCCTCTGAGCTAGCTTTGATTCTGTCTCCAAATCATGTTCCTCTTCAGACTGAGGTTGTTCCAGAAAGGTGTATGGGTTCCATCTGCCTCTGTTCCTCAGCTAAAGTAGTAATGACCTTTGGCAAAGGAGCAGGCTAATGGGCTACAGGCAGTAACTCCAAGGTGTAAATGAGGCAGGTAAATATGCCTGGCTTAATTAGCTCAGAGCTTGCTCACAGTTTCAGTGTAGACCCAAAATAAGATAAACCCAATAGTCAGTGATAGGAACTTAACTCTGTTATTCTGCTATCTACAAAGGCAGGCAGATATTAGATAGATAGACAGATAGATAGATAGAACAGCCTGAAGTCATTTTAGTGATAAATCTATTTATTTCACTGTATTTATATGGGATAATCTTCTTGGCTGAAAAATGCCCTCAAAAGAAGTCCCTGCGGCGTCAGTTTGCACAAACAAAGGCAAAGCAGCAACAAATAAATAATTCCATCGTGCATGTTGCATGGGACATGAAACACAAGGCAAGCATTTTGCCCCTGGAATGTTTCCAGAAAAATCTTACCAGAGGCAGTTTTGAAGGAGATGCTCCATGTTTGTTTTGGAATCTGTGTGCACATGCCGTTATTCTGAGGGCAAAAGAAATTCATTTGTGAAGCTGCACCATGAAACGCAAAGAAGTTGGTGTAAGATCAGTTCCAGAGTCATTTGCTTGGGTTCACTTATTTGCTAAATCTGGGTAATCTTTATTTTTTAAGGTTATGTTTATTTGGATGGGAATAGATATGGAGGGTGGGGTAAAACAAAAGGTAGGGAAAAAATAAGCTCATTTTCTGGGGAATCTGTTTCAATGTATTTACATAGAACAGCCTTTGTGGAGTGGAGAAAAGTTTTGGAAAAAAAAAAATCCAAGCAGAAGATTAAGGGCAAGGGAAGGGTCACGCTTTTCTGAATCATCTGTTATCATCAGAGACAAGATACTGATTGAGCTGAGCCCTGGCATGTTCTTGTCTGCCCTCTTTAATACTCCTGTCACAAGAGTATTTTAGGTTTCTGGCCAAAGATTTCTTCTCTAGCTATTGACCTGTCTCTATTATCCAGCAGGACCTGAAACAAGATAGTCACGGAGACACTGCCTTAAAACACAGGCAGGAGCCAAATGCTTAAGCAAAACCCAGTTTAGACTTCCTAGGGTATCGTTAGCATCCTCAGGGACCTTTCAGATATGGGTCAGGACCTATGAGAAACGATCTCCAACCACCTCGTTCTGCATATCCAACAGAGGTCAGGTGGGGCACTCCACCAGTTCTGAAAATCCCACACTAATCTTAGTCCTACACACATCATAAATGTTGTGCTTTCACTACCAGAAACACAGCTTCATGAAAAACAAAAGTCCTCCCAGGCTGATGCCCCCTTCATTCTTTGGCCTTTCTGGTGTTTTGCCATTTGCCCATTGACCTTCTGTATCTAGAAGAGTCTGTGAACGTCTTCTGTCACCAAGCAGTGCCACTGAGGGTGTCTGTGTTGCGTGCGATCTCTGTGGTCCCAGAACCATCCTCTAGACCTCAAATCTGCTGCATCCCAAGTCCGATGGCAAGCTGGCTCCCCACACAGCAGCCTTGAGGAGACAGGATTAAGGCAGGGTTGGTCTTATGGACATCTGAGTACAAATACAGATCAGAGGACCTACACCCACCTAAAGATATGGGCTGGTGGATGGAGACCACCTTCCCATTTCATATTCCAGTACTTTCCCACAGGCAGAGGTTCAGAGCAGTCCCATCCCAAGAAGCAAGAGTGAATACCCTGGGCCACCTGGCTTTCAAGAGGTTCAGCTAATTCATTTGTTTTACCACATAGATAAGCTTTCATCAGACTCTTCATCATCTTGTTTAAACACAAGGCTGGTGAAACCCATCTCCCTTTTAACACATTATTCATTCTGTTCCTTTCCTTTTTAAAATTCCTCACCGGTGCTCAAATACCAGAAGTCAGTGTCATTGTCAGATGTGTCATTTAAGTCCCAATAAATCATTATTAATGCCAGTGTTGTTTAGAAACACGGCTATTAATAGAGTGCTCCAGTGGAAATGCAGAGAGGCAGCCAAGCCAGAGGTGATGGGTGATCTGGCATCACCCCCTTTTTGCCAACAGGGACTCCCCCTCCACGACTTGAGATGGCCAGTGGACAAGGAGACGAGGGGAATGTCCCATCTGCCTGGTAAAGGCAAACCCCTGCACTGGCCCATGGCAAGCTGAGCCTGCCAAGGGAGATAGGCTGTGTCACAGGGAAATCCATAAAAAATCAACATATAACTCAAAGCTGGAAGCGATGGTTCACAACAGCAGGGCTGTGCTGTACCTAATCGCCTTTCATTAGCAGCTGGCTCAGAGAGGTATTTCGACATCTCATGGCAGACTGGACCTTCTCTCATCCCCATGTGGGAGTGCTCACTCCCCCGTGCACATCGATGTTGTGATGAGTCAAGGCAACTTTGATGGATGGATGTTTGAATTAGCTGGGTAGCACACGCCGACTAGCAAAGCTCATGGAGACCAAGTGTTTATTTTTCACATACAGCAGCATAAATCCCAAACACTCATCCCTCCCCCAAAAGGGAGCAGCCTGGCTCTCAATGCACACCATCTCTCTCCATCCCACCTGCCCCTGTGCTGGAGCTGGCTGGGTTTGCTGTCCAGCCCACAAGGCTGGCTGAGGACCCTTGTGCAAGGGGTCTGGAGGGTGCCTGTGGAGAGAGGCAGAGGTGCTGACTGGAGAGACATGGCAGGGAAGAGGGAAGGGTCTGTTGGTGGTCTTGATGAGCACCAGAAGGCCCACAGCTCAAAAAGTAAAGCCTTACCTCTGAATTGTAAGAAGTTGCTGCTGCTTTTGCCATCAGACATCACACTCCTGAGAATAAGTCCTTGGGAGTAAGATTGCCTGGTAATACAGACCCCATCGCTGCCCCTTTGCTGATTAAAATAAAGATGTCCCAAACCAAACTCCCATCACACTCTTTGTCCTTTGCCAGGTGAATTTCATTATGAGACACCACCAGGGAGCCTGGGCTGCTTCTGGCTTTTGTGTCTTTCTTTCCAAAAACACTGTCTTTTCAAATTGTTTCCACTACAGAGAGCAACCCGAGGCAGACCAGTCCTAAGGAGCTCCCTTCAGGAGACATTTGCTACACGCCTGTGAGAGCATGCAGGAGAAGACCACACAATAACTTGTCTGCAGTCATGGGCCACGCATGGGCAGATGAGGAAAGGTGTGATTAGGGCAATGGGAAATAAGCCTCTGATCTTCTGCAAGCACATCTCAGAGAACGTGCATGTGTGTGTGTATGTGTTTTGGCAGGGGTGAAGGAGGATGAAGGGCAAGTCTCGCAGCTGCAGGTAGCAACGAAGATAGGGAGACATTTCCCGTCTCGCTCTTCCCCAGATCCATCACTGTAAATAACTTGGCTTGCTTCCTCCTCCTCTTCTTTTGTATGCTTTCTAAGACTCTGCAACTCACATGAAAACACGCAGCCTTAATTGGCATTGTCAGTTCCAGCTGACAGATATCCCGTAAAACACACCCAGCAGTAAAAAGTGTAATGCCCTAACCCTCCCCTACAACGAAGTTCAATTAAAGTGAGACAAGGAAGACTCCAATGGATGGCTGTAGGCAGACTGCAGTTTGCTAGATTTATGAAAAACGTAGCAATCGTGCCAATACTTTGATGAGGACCACTTTGTGCTAACAAAATGAGGTGGTATTTACTCACTGGAAAACATTAAATCCTGCTGAACTAATGGGTGGGTTTTAAGGCTGCCCTAGGTGCTTCATCACGAAATCCAACCTGTTGTGATTTACCAGCAAACATTCAACTCCTACCCACTCTCCTGATCCTCGTGCACTCCTGATAGTTTGCTTTCCTTCCCCTTTCCAGCACTGCACAGCTTGGGATTCTGCATGCACTTTCTCTCTCCTGCACAGCTTCACAAAATCTTGATGTTTATGTAGAAAAGCTTCCATTTATCCAGACTGAAGAGAAGAAGTGGGGGATGTGAGAAGGAGCACTTCCCTCTACCCAGCCATTTCTATCCTATGGTCTGATATGGATCTTTAAGGACTGATTCAACTTGGGGCTGTGCCCCAAGACTTCAGCCCCTCCAACAAGAGCCTCAGGTGGGAGGTAAAACACAAACTGTTCCCCTTACCTCTTGACCCCATGGTATTTCAACCCACCCAAGTCTCCTTTCACCTGCCAAATTCACTGCAGGCAACACATTTACCTTTAGGATAAATACAACCCACCTTGGGGATCCAGGCATTTACTGGATCCTTTTGCCCCAACATTTTTATGTAGGAGTGAGGTGACTTTGGGGTTGTTTGCTGCACAGTTTATGGGGAGGTTTTCCCCCTTCGTGTGCAGTCATACCACCTCCCCTGCCCGCTCCTTGGCCACAAGCTACCACCGCAGCATGCGGAGGTTACAGAGGAGCAGAGTTAATGGTGCTGTGGCCACAGGTAGGGAGGAGGGGAGCAGCCCAAGGCTGGGCGAGGAAGGTGGAGTGATAATGCAGCAACTCTCTGGAGCCTTCCCAAGGGAAACCACAACCAGATGTGCTTGTGGTGTTGCAGCGGGACCTTGGGGAGAGAGTTAATGGGGACCCTTTGATCTTTGCCTTCAAGGCAGGCTGAGTGAGATGGCCAGGTTTGCTCAGCAGGTGGGAGGTGAAGGAGGAAAGGACAGGACATATCCTGAAGGCCGGTGGGAGCAGACTCCCCCCATGCCCTCTGGAAGTGGGCTGAGAAGTGAGGCAGCAACTGAGGTGTGAGGGGAGAGATAGGAAGGCCATGGGAATTGTCCCAAATCCTTGGATTTGTGTTTTGTCATCAGCAGCTCCTGCAAGAAGAAGTGAGGGTCCAGATGGTGGCAGAAGTGGTCCCTGAGGAGGCAGTGCCAGCAATCGCTGCTCGCCAGCACCCAGCGCCAAGGCTTCTGAAGCAACGTGGGTGCGATTTTGGCAGCGAGAGCGAGTGAGATGCTCCTCCTGCTTCCCCGCTGCCTCACTTCTTGGGTGGCCATTTCCCCCGGGGCAGAAAGGGAGTGCGAAGTGCTGCGCAATCGGGCGGGAGAGCAAGGGTCAGGTGGGGGACAGGAGAAAAGGGCGAGGAGGGCCGCAGGAGGAGATCAGGATCCTATCCCCACCACCCCCTCGTTTCGTGCGGCTCGCCGAGGGCCGGCTTCCTTCCCCTCCTGGCTCCTGCTCCCACCATAGTCCCTCAGGGCTCGGTGCTTGCCACCGCTGCTCTCCAGCCCTCCGCGTGGGCTGGGACACGGGCCTGAGTCACAGGTTCAGGCCCACGGGGCTGAGCGCCTGCACGCGCTCCTTTGTGCAGAGCAGCAGCAAGGGGAGGGGAAGGTCGGTGCCAGCTTTTCCCAGGCTTTGCACTGTGCCTCTCCCCGCCGGGAGCCGTGCGGGGAGGAGGAGAGGTAGGCAGCCAGGAACGCAGGCTATGAGCACAGGGGGAGGCGGAGGAGGTGGCTGCCCGGGACAGGGATGCTGGCTTGTGCTGTGGGGCTCGGTGGTGATAGAGCAGTGTGGGATGCCAGAGACGGAGAGCCTGTGGGGGAAGCTTGTACTGTCTGGCGCTGCTTGGATGTTCCCTCATCTTTGATAGAAACAACTGAATTTGCGAACTTGTTTCCCACAAGAAAGGCCCCCAGTGTTCACAAGGGAACAGATTAGGGATTGTCCTAAATCCTCACGGTGGCCAGGGCAGCAGGGAAAGCCAAGTACCAAATGATTTCCTCGGAATGCAACAAATCTCACAGTGCGATAAGAGCAAAAATAGCTTTCTCTCCACCCTCCCTTCGACCTCAGGCCCAGCACCTCGCAGGATATTCTTGCTGGCCAAGTGCTTTACAGCAAGAGAAAAGCAGAGGAGAAGCCTAATGAGCACCAGGGTAGATAGGTCTGAAGAGATGTGTGTAGGGTAGTGGGCTGAGCAGAGGAAGTTTTCATCTCCATCCTCTCTGTCCTTGAAAATGCTGTTGCTTACAGGCTGTGTAGACCTGTCACCAGACTGACATCCAAAGGTGAATGCAATGATACCTGAGGGGTGTCTGCAAACTGCTGCAAAAATCCCACCACAACTTTACACTCGGTTCCTAGTTTAGAAGTTAGGCCTTGGCCCATGACAGCTAGAAGTACAACTTTAAAAAATGCAAGCTTTTTTTTTTTATTATTTACATGATTTACATGTGATTGTTGCAGCTCATGTATGTTTAAAACCTTTTCTCTAGGCATAAAAGTTACACACATCACCAGCAGGGCACCACAAGAGATGGTAATGCTGATTGAGTGGAGGAAACTCTTCTGTCCTAATTATTGCTCTGCAAATGAGTCAGGAAGGCCTGAAGGGTATTATTTGTTAGAGAAGCAGCCTGAACAGCCTTAACTCCTGATTGCTGAAGGAAAGGAAAGATCTCTCTGGGGTTACCACAAGACATTCAAGCAGTTGTTCTCCTTGTGGTCTTTAATCCTTCCATCCCAGATAGTCTTATGTTTGTATCATCAACCATGATGGGGATTATTAATTCTCCTCACAGCACAGAACAACAAGCTGGTCTCTGTAGTGAAAAACTTCACAGTGTAAGACAAAATGGTCCTAAAGATCATGGGCAGATGCAGCAGCATGAAGCAGCCATGAAAACTACAATGCAATGATCACCTTTTAACTCCCCACTCTTCAGGGGCGCCCGTGCACTGCACAGACTGTGATCCACCCCAGAAGCTGTTGAATTTCAATTGAAAGGTAAAATATCAGCCCTCAAGGGTGAAATTCCTACTGACCATCATGCAGCTATTACAATCCATGATTCCTGATAGCAGTGATGGTGGGTTTTAGATTAATTTGCCGTCATTTCATCATTTACACTAAATGCCATGGTTCTTTGATAAACATTTCAGGCCTTTTTCCAAACAATTTTTTCCATTTGGAGCTGATGAAAACAGGCTGTCAGCACTCCCGGTAGAAACACCCCGCTCGCAGCAACAGTTGCTGTCTGGCCTAGTGGTCTTCCTGGAGAAAGTCCAAGTGGGAAGGCAGTCCAGAGGCTCCACTTGCTGAGCTGATTGGGGCTGAAGGAAGGCGACCACTATTTCTAGAAAATGATGATGCTCTTTCCCTCTGAGTAACTTAGGGGACAACAAAGAGTTATCTTCCTGAGCCTGCTGGCTCACTCAAAAATGAGGAGGATCAAGGCAGACCCCAGCAGTGAAAGGAACTGTTTTCTCAGGGCAAAGCACAACTTGTCTTCCATGTATTGTTGCTAGCTGCCTCTCTCTGGTGAGCTCTCCAGCATCATCTCCCTTCCTTCTGCCTTGCTAGTCTGCAGAGAGGAGCTAACATGCTGGGCACAGGACTCCAGATCACTGGGGGACTCCTTATGGGTGCTATCCTCCAGATGTTCTTACTCCCAGTACTCTCCTAGCAGAGATGAATGCAGACCTCTTTTCAGTTTGAGACCTGGACCCAAACATTGTACCACTAGAGTCAATCTCTACCTGCATCAAACCTAGATCTATGTCCAAATTCTGTTTTCAGAGACTGCATCATTCTAAGGTAGAGCACATGGGACCTGCTGACCCCAAGACTGAAACCACAGCTGGAAAGAGGTCCCTAAGGGGCAGCAGCAGGCCTGGTAGGGCAACCCAGATTTAGGAAGGCAAGCATAACCATTCCCTGGAGTTCTGCATGGCTCCTGCCCGTAAGGGGTCCTGCAACATCTTTCATCTGTGCTTCCACAGTTTGTCCTTAAGAGTTGAGTTCAGTATTGCAATACTAAAAGGCAAATTGTAGCCAGATCACAAAGCAGGAGGGAAAGGATGACAGTCTGTATACTGAATTATGAGAGTCCAGCAGTTTCTTTTTAGAGTATTTATTAGGCTATTGTCCAAAGAGTCCTTCACTGTTTATGACAGACCATAAATACCATCTGTCTCCCCCTCTCCACCTCCCCAAACAGTTAGCTGTTCTCTGCTGCAATGCTGTTTGCAGGTCATCTTGATAACCTGCCCCACAGGAGGAAGTGACAAAAATAGATCTCCCTGCTTAAAACGTCTCTTTATTTGCACTAAGTGCTGATATTTTGCCACTATTGATGTAATCAGACACCACGTTGATAGCGTGTGAAAAGTCTAAAATAAAGACTCCCTTAATCTGGAAATCAGCACCTGGAAGTGTGCAATCAAGGATAGCTGAAGTGGGGGGAGAGTGAAGCTTGTATCCAGTATACTGAGGCATTGTTTAAGACATCCAGCTTTGCTGAGGGCCAGTGACATCGATAGAAGATAGTTGCTCTATAGAGAGATACTAAAACACATTTTTTTCCTGGCTATGCTCCCTTTTCTCATCTGGACTTCTACTCTAGGTGAATTTTAGGCCTTTTGTTGGACCTCTGTTGCTCAACAGAGGCTGCTGTATCTCCAAAAATGTCAGAAGCACCTGCAGTGTATAGGCAGATTAATTAGACACTGCATGCAGAGCTCTCCATGGATTAGGTAAATATGATACAGTCACAGAGGCATCTACAGAAGTCCTGAAGTTTCTGGGGAACTATTACACATGAATGTCATACTCAAAACTACTTGAATTTGGTAGCACTTTTTAGTCTCACACTGCGAGCAAGAATATTCATAGATAAAAACAGCTTATATGTAGAAGTTGAAGTTAGATATATCCTGGCCAGAAACAGAGTTCAAATGTTCAGTCAAAAGTATGATTAATCCCTGAAGCAATTGAATTCTAGCTGATGGTACAACCCCAAGCACTAGAAATATTTTGGTGAGGATGAGTTATTGCTTTTTTTTTTTTTGCTTTTTTTTTTTTCTAACTGGTACACTGATTGAAACAGGGAAACCTTCAAGTCTCAGTATTGCAGAATGGAACAATTAGAGACATCCCTTCCAACTTCATAATCAGTGAATCCAAGACCCTCCAAGAACATCTACCTGCGATCATATAGAAGGTCAGCAGTAGACAGCTTAAGTATCCAGTTAAAGGAGATCTGCTCTTTAATGTTAACTAATCCCGGTGGACAGCTGACAAATGAGGCTATTTAAAGAACTATTTACTGTCATTATTCCAAACTGAAGAACGAATTGTTTTGAAAATTCAGAATTACTTCACAACTGATCAGAGCTGAGGAAAAAGACAGAAAGGGTCAGATGACATATTGTGAACTAGATCCTCTTCTGTGAAACTGTCTAATCAACTTGACTTAATTATAGAACACAGTCCCCTCTAAGCAAAGACTGTAATGTAGAGAAATCTGTGGGTAATTTGGATACATGAATAAATAAATAAATAAATCTCACAGAAATCCCTCATGTCCCCATATTGTTTGCATGGGGACTAAGTTGTTCCATACACACAATTCCTTGTTTAGATTGTTTGCTGCCATCCTCAAGAGAAGATATTGTGGTGGAAGGGGAGAATGAACTAACATACTCTAAACCATTCCTTAGCCTCTTAGCTTCATGTCACGGTAAGTAATGAGTTTGGTACTACATCATGGCAATGTTATGACAGAAAGCAAAGCCCTTCTGACCTCAAATTAATCCTGTCTTCTCTGAGAGCTTTGTTTCAGGCTTCACTGGGGACATGTGTGTGTAACTTTAGATGATATCTGAAGGCATTTCAGATGTTAGCCAAAAATGTGCTTTATATTTATGCTGCATTTTGTTGCGCCTTTCCTTCCAAAATAATCAGGGGGAAGGAGGCGAAATCTCAGGTGGAAAATCCCTGGAGATCCCCCGATCCAAAGAATAAAACACTGAAAAACAATTATCAAAAATGTCACAACTGCATGACCTGTATCCGCTGAAATGTAGAGAGATGTGTTCAGGGTTATTATAGCCACTTAAACTGGAGGCAGAAAGTCAAGACAGTCACACATTGCAGGAAATAGCTGACTATCTCAGATCAAACAAAGGAGAAGAAGCCAATTTATGCATCTAGATCATGGAAATTAAAAATGAAAACAAACAAACAAACAAAAAAAAAAAAAACTCTGTGGAGTATTTAGATCAAGTTCATATTGTGTTAAAGACTATGGAAAAGTTCCCGTGCTGTTTCACAGCAGAAAAATCTCCAGCCTCCATTTGGTCTACAAAATATCTTAGCCTATTTAGTGTTAGCCAGATTCTGTCAATCATCTTTCCCTTCTACCCATATTGTTTCTGTCTCTCTCAGGATGCCTGAGATATTTGGCCATTATTTGGCCAGTGAGTAGTAAATGCCTGGTTTATTTTAAATTTTGTTCCATCTAGTTTCAACTTTAAGTGAAGGTGGAGGAAGCAGGATACTTAAGGGAGAGTTTCTTGGCATACCACAGGACAATTCATGCATTCAGTTTTTTAGCACCAGAAAAAAAAAAAATAAATAAAAATAAAAAATAGAAAGAAAAAGAAAAATAGAAAGAAAAGAAAAGGAAAAGAAAAAGAAAAGGAAAAGAAAAGAAAAGGAAAAAGAAAAGGAAAAGGAAAAAGAAAAGGAAAAGGAAAAGGAAAAAGAAAAGGAAAAGGAAAAGAAAAGGAAAAAGAAAAAGAAAAAGAAAAAGAAAAAGAAAAGAAAAAGAAAAGAAAAAGAAAAAGAAAAAGAAAAAGAAAAAGAAAAAGAAAAAGAAAAAAGAAAGCTGGCAAAGAAGGGCAGGTCTTGACAATATTCCTCACTTTTTATTTGCTTTCTGTGTTATGGAAAGCATGGATTTAGAGCAACCCAATGCTTTTGGGGTAAGCAGGTCTATTCTGGGTGGTAGGAAGCAAGAGGTAATGCTGAGCAGCACCAGAGCTGCAGCTGTATCCAGGAATGGTTGGACTCTCCAGGGGCAAGACTGGAACAGCTGACATGAATAGGTAATTTTCTCAGCATCCCATTTAATTTGATTGGGTGGAGGAAGAAGTTTTGGTCTTTGGGCTCTGCAAAACCATCGTTGGGTTGGTATCAAGACTAGGCTGGAGAAAACTTTTAAACTTTTGGTGTCATGTGATAACCTTGATGTGTTTTCTTTGGTAGTTCCAGTCAAGTGTGTTTCAGTGGTTATGGTGAGGGAGCAGCAGATAGAAATACAAGGAGCCATAAGACAGTTAGCCAATTGTACTTCTTTTCTTGTAGTCTGGATGAACAGAAAAGGAGAGGTTTGAGACCTGTGGTGATAAGTTCAGGGCTAGCTTTCACCTGAAGTTTTATTAATGGAGATAGAAGTTCCCCAAGGACTTGCAAACTGAGACTGTCTTCCATGCTCTTGGCTGTCTTCAGATTCCTCATGTAAACTAAGGAGAAAAGCATAAATTTCAACAAGGGGAATTGTTTATGTGTTTTTCCCCCCTTTGTCTGAGACTGTTTCATATGTTTTCTTCTCTGCTGCTTGCTGGGTAGAGTTGAATTCTTATAGGATGTTCAAATGTTGCTGTGTCAAATAGCTTGACCTGTAGTCTCCAGTCCTGTCCATGTAATGGTCCAGCTCTACCTCTCCTCAGGCAAATTAGGATCCTGCTAGCTTTCAGCTCCCTCTACAGTTAACAAAAAGAGAAACTATCTGAGGGTTACACAGGTGACCTGAGACCTGAATCACAGCTTGAAGACCCTGGTCTCTCTCCATTGACTAAACAGAGAGCTTACCTTGTCTTTATTCCTAACGTAGGCAGCTCAGATACTAGCTGAAATTTGTGGGGAATCATAATGTAAGGGGTGTAAGTGAGCAAGGGTTAGATGAGAGAGGAAATACTTCTGCCAAAACAGTGAAATGTACTGAGAAAACTGGAAAAGGACTCCTGTCACTGCTTAGGGCCCAAGAGGAAGGAGAACATTTGTCAAACATATTGTCTCCTTTTGCTGCAAGTTGGGAGGTAAGTGGAGACATATGAAGAGAGAGCTAATGGAGGAAAAGTAGCAGAGAGGTGGTACTCAGCTTTAAAGTAATTTGTGGGGCTCTATCTCAACCTAATGATGAGAAGATGAGGACCAACAATGACTGGTGTTAATGTTTGTCACAAACTGCTACAATCCCTGCCAACAAAGAATTGCCCCCTCCAGCAAGGGGCTGCATATCAGGCATCTGGGCTGTCCCTACCATTATTGTGCCCATGGTTAATATTGCCTTCTTGCACCTTTGTCCTTTACTTTCCTTGATCTGTCATTCCATCAAATGAACAAGTGCTTTAGTGCAAGGTGGACAAGGGATTTCTAGAGTGCTTAGAGGTGCTAGTTTATGTAGGGAGATAACATTAAGGTCTTGGGACTCATGGCCATTTACCTGAATTTTGGCAAGATTAGTCTTCATGCTTCCTGGCTCCTGCTTGTGTGCTGCCTTCCTTAATTTCCTCGACAAATCCTACAGACTGCAATATTTCCTACACAGAACCAGTTTGTACTACTGCTGTTTTCCTTTAGGCAGCCATCAGGTGGCTGTTCCAGTAGCAACATTTCTCCTAGGCCCATGAAGAGTGTGCCTGGCAGAAATATTAAGCAGCTGTGACTTCAAATGACTTGATAATGAATATTTTTTGCATCATAAACTGTATTATCCTCTAATATTTGGGCATTTCTCTTGCTTCCTTCAGGAGGCTAGTCCTTTTAGATAAGCAGATTGTGCAGTTGAATAGAACTTGGCTTAGTTTTCTTTCAGTTTTTCTTTTTTTCTCATTGTTGTGTTTGGGCTCCAATTTTTACTGCCTAGCTTTCAGAAAACCAGTTAAACTGATCCTCTTCCACTACTTTCTTCACATACTTTCCTGAGGTACCTCTTCCCAATGGTCCAACAAAGAGGTATGACATGAGCCAAGCAGCACAGACATAGCCAGCCAACTGCAGGAGAGTGAGAAAGTGCTGAAAAAGGAACAGGACAGGGGGAGCAGGAGCTGACCCAGTCTGGCAAAAGTTTAGATTTATTTTATGTCCTTTTGGGAGATCTGAAGGTGGCAAATTGGCAAATCTGTGGTGAAACTGGGAGGGGGGAAAAAACAGAGAGAGTTTACCTGAGCCAGCAGAGGGCATTTCTCCAGGCTGGGGGACAAGTAGCTTTGCTATGTCCCAGGGAGGAGAGTTTTGTTCTCAAGCCCAGGGTTTTTTCTGTGGTTATAATGGAGGATTTGCATCTATGGCGCTGTTGCCCTTAAATCTTCCATCAGGAATTAAACACATTAAAAAGTATTAATTTAATTTCACTGGCACAGCGTCGATCCAAGAGCTTGCTGGCAGCCCACCTCACTGTCTGTGACGTTTCTGTGGTCAGCAGCAACAACCAACAGCAGCCGCAGGCAAGCGGGTCCCAGCATCCCGGGAGTAGGATTTCATTAAGGAGTGCCATGGCTCAGTGCATGGGTGTCTCACCTCCTTTCTATTTGAAGCAGAGCAGTCAAGAGAAACAGCCAGCTAGCTAATCACCACCACAGCCTATTGGGAAGATAGGAATAATTATTTAAACCAGTCTTGAATTACTCATTGGCGTGCATCTAATTAACAAATTCCGTTTATTCCTGTAACTATTGTGCAACAATTAGTGGGTGTTAAATTGAGCTCTTCTGCCGGCAATTTCAGTGGTATAATTTTGCCAAGATGTCTCTGTTTTGCCTGCAGTGCCTGGTGCCACAGAGAACAGTCTGGAGGTGGTCAGAGCATTTTGACTAAATTTACTTTTGTTGAAATGTACCATTCATGTAAAGCCTGGGGCATTTTTGTGGATAAGACAAAGCAATTTTAAGCAAGTTTTTCTCTGGCCAAATTCCTGAACCCTGATATCTGCTGGTCACCTCAGACAAGAGAGAAGCAGACATCTGAATAAAAGCATCAAGCTGAAAACAGATGTTCTAACACAATTCTGCCTCTCACATGCGTGATTTTTTAATTTTTTTTTATTTTTTTTAATGCTGATTCTGCTCCAGGGCGGACCAAAAAAAAAATAAATAATAATTTCAAAACCTTGAAAGATTTCGCAAAGCTGAATTGTCTTCCTCTGGTAATGCAAGCACACCCGCCCCTGGCACAGAGATGTTCCTCAGCCCCAGAGGAGCACAGGGCTCTGCCTCTCACTACCGCACCCAGCACCAAGGACATTGTGAGAATTTGAAGCCATGGCACTCATCAGTAGAAAACTGGCTCTCCTCTACAAGCAAATCCTGAAGAATTCAATTGCCATGACGTGCTGCTCCCTCCCTGATATATGGAGTTGCCAGGAGCAACTCCATTTTTCTGTCATCTTTCCGCACGTTGGTGCGGTAGCCTGGACAGACATCTCTCTCCACTGCGATACCAGATATGTTCCTGAACCTGGAAGCAACAGCTTGGACCTAGAACAGCCTCACCTACCAAGAGGGAGTCTGACACGAAGATTTTTGCCACATGCTGGGCTTTGGTTGTCCTATTTAAAATTCAATATCCTAGTTCTGTTGCATCCAGAGGATCCCAGAGGCCAGACACAAATGTGGCTATGTAAGCCTGAATCCGAAGCAAGAACTGAGAATTGAACACAACTGAGATGTTTCCCTTTATTCATCAGTTTCTCTCTTGGCCAGGTTGAGTCTAATGTAGTTTACATAGGTTCACACTGATCTTATATTGATTGTCACCAAGAGACCTCTGAGGGCCTTGATTTTCCAGCGTGAAATGTTCATAGGAAGTTTGTCAGCCATTTAGGATACTTGCTGCTTCTCCCTTTGTCCATCCTTACTCTCTTCCACTCATTTTTCTGCCTCTCCTATAAATAAAGAGCTGCTTGAGATATCCAAAGTGTTGCTTAAAAAAGGTGGGGGGAGCATGCTGGGGGGGAATGGGCCATTATAGAAAAGGCCAGGTGCTTGGCATGTCCCCAGCTTGTGAAGGTGGGAGCTGTCAAGTCTGAAAAATATCAGTGTGGGAGATATAAATAAAAGCTTTAAAGCCAGGGTTTTAGAAAGTCATCTTTAAATGCTGCATAATTTATAGCCTGCTGTAGAGAGAAAAGTGCGTGAGCTCTCAAAGCTGAGCTAACCCATTCTCTGCTCCCTGCACAGTTGAGCTGTCCATATGTATGTGGTGGGGTGTATGCTGGGCATCCAAAATTTCGGATTTTAAGTGCCAGTACTTCCTTCTACAGGCTTACCTTGGTCACTGTGGCTGGGTCCATTTCATCTCCTTGTGTCTCAGTTCTCTGCCTGCGAACTGGAAATAAATATAATTAGCCTCATCTAAAAAATAAATAAATAAATTGGAGCCATGATTAGGGATGCTGAACTCAGGTAGGACAGTGTGGACAGACAGCAAGAAAATCAGCAATAAACAAGCAAGCTCCACCTGTGTTTCTGTATAAGTGATTTACTCTCACTGGCTCAACTTCTGTTTAAAACAGGGATTATCCTAAAAGGTTGAGAAACTTCTTTCAATAGCAGCTACAAAATGCTTTTCTCTAGCAGAACAAAGCCATGGGATAGGCAGGGGGTAAAGGTCTGCCCCAACAAGGGCCAAAACTGCTGCCAAGCTGGCATTTACAACAATGATTTCATCCAGCCTTGGAAGTGCAGTCACCTCTAGGATGTAACAGAGCAGCTGTGCTATCGCCATCCAACAATAATAAACAACGGGAAGCAGAACGGGCTTTCAAGGCAGCTGAGTCTCCCGAGAGGATCTAGCCCACCACATTATCACTGCTCCCCCCTTCTCCCCAGCTGGATAGAAGTCTGGAAATCATGAATCCTAAAATAAAATAAAGTATGTGGTGTCTGAGCTGCAGTATTAATTCAAATAGCTGCGGTGCTGATGCTTTCCCCAAAAGATGGTCACAGGTATGCACAGCTGCCTGTTTTACCACCTTCGGGGTTGCTTCTGTGGTGATGCAGTAGGACCACTGCCACCTCTCTGGTCTCTCTCACCTTGCTTCTCCCCAGACATCTGCATCCAAGCCTCGACTTGTTTGGAGCCTGCTGAGCTGGTGAGATTTGACAGGATCTCACCACCCAAAGTGCCGTGGCTTGAGGCTATAGATTTAAGCAGAAGCATTAAGCACCCTGCTCTTTAACTCATTTCTAATCCATTTATTTAAACTTCAGAGTGGTTTTAAAGCACAAGAATCAAAGGCGAGAGCAATTTAGAGTTTTCCAGCCCGGCTCTGAGATCTGACCTCTGCACGTATCCTGGCTGCCTTTAAAAGTGCACCGGCATAAAAGCACAGTTTGTGACAAAGCATCTGGAAGGATTAAAACTTTCTGGGATGGAATATGCTTCTGTCAAGGACCTCTTTCCTATCTCAACTCCGTTGCCAGAAAAGATCTTTCCTCAGGGGGCTTCTAACCCGCTTGAGGGATTTAGAGAAGAATTGCTGAGAAGAGCATATAGCAATTTGATTACGGGATAAATGTGAGAGGGAGGGGGGTAAGGGTTAGAAGGGAGAAACAGGATTAAAAAGAAAATAAAAGAAGTGGGAAGTAACTGAGCTGAATGAATCCGTGTAAGGCAAGGTCTGTGGAAGCATTTTGGAGTCCAGCCTTTGGGGGCAGTTTTTCTTCCCGGTATGCCAGATGTCCTTCAGCAGTGCAAAAACCTCAAACCGAGCAGTTCTCAGGGAAGGTGGCAATGGGAAGGATGGAGTTGCTGAGACAGAATGGAGGAAAAGCAGGAGAGCAAAGGATTTTTGGAGAAGGGTTTCAAGCCCCTAGCGTGGGCTGTTCACACTGCCTGCCTGATTATGTTGCCTCTTTGGACAATGCTTGGGAAATCGTTACCTGATCCCTCCCACATTTGTTTACAAAGGCAATCTGCGTCAATTAATCCCTGCTTCATTTCTTCTCATTCTGTCTGGACAGTTGCTGTGAAGTAAATGGTAACCAATCTCCTAGCCCATGGAGTCAGTCTGGCTTCTTATTTCCTTATTCATTAAAGCAGACACCTTAGAAAGGACGGAAAATATTACCAAAGCCCAGGAGACTCAGTCTTCAGAATAAGGAACCAGTCTTTCAGCCTTGGAGGCGACGTGAGTCTGGGACACAAGACAGAGTTGGGTATGAAAACAGGCCCTTCATCTGAGGAACAAGCAGTCTCTGGACACGCTGCTGTTTTCTTGGTTTGTTTGAGGTTTTTGTTCTTGGGGTTGTGGGATTTTCTTTTTTCTTCTTCACTTTCTGCTTCTTCACCCTTGCACTGTGAATTGGCCTGACATTAGAAACTGATGTGAAATGAAGAAGCTGCCTGCTAGGGCGGTTTCTTCACTCTTCATGATCCCTCCTGCATGCCAGCTCTCCCGCTGTGTTATTACAAGTGTATTTCTCTACACCACTATGCTAGGTGATGTATAGATTCAGACTAAAAAGAAAAAAAAAAGAAACACTGGACAAACAAACTGTTTGCTCATGTGGTACTACTGATGTCTGGTTTCCCACTGATTTGTTTCTGGTGATTAATGAAGACCTCTGTTTGAAGCTTTTCTGTTCTCAGGACTCTAATTTAAACACATGAACTTGGCTAACAATTCCTCCATATCTCTTGCTGCTTATTTTTCCTTAGATCTCTGAAAATCTCGGAGATCTCTATTACTTGGCCTACATGTTTGACTGTTGCTTGGAGAGGAAGAGATTGGCACATACAAAGACAGGCAATGCAATTGCTCAAGACTAGTTAGTTTCCTTAGGAAGTTGGGTGGAAAAGATCCTTCCCAAGAATTACAGATGAGCCCTACCAAAGAAATGTTATTACCTTGCAGCCAAAAATGCTGCAAGAGTTTGGGGCCCTTGTGGTCTGAGTTACGAGATGACCAGTTGATGCAGATGGACAGGCCAGGGAGCTCAGCTGAACTATCAGACCATTTCAAGCTTAGTCAGCTCAAGCAATGCCAACAGGCACTTGAATGACTTTTTGTCCTATGGCTACGCCGCTTGCCAGCTAATGAGGCTTGGAAGGCATCTACCCCATGTCTCTGCTAGGGTCAGAAAGTTTTAGGTCAGCTTGTTCAGGCATGAACTGGAACGGAGAGGACATTTCACTCTGTTGGAAGGATGCCCCAGTTCAGCTTCCCTGTATTGAGTTGCATTTTGGAGAGGACATCCCTGCTGCAGTCTGGTAGTGGCTGTGGAAGTTACACTTCAAGTAGCTTTATTTTTAAGAGGAATATTGGTGCAATGTAAGGAGATTCAGGTCAGAGTCCAGGCTGTAGAGTAGACCAGAAAATTCAGCAGATATACTGCAAAGTCGAATCCCAACAAGTTTGATTCGGTCTCAGGTCTGCTCAACTTGAGCTGCAGTCCTGTCTTTAGATGCAGAGCAGTTGTATCCTCAGAGAGGGAGGATTTCCATGCCATGACAACCATGCTGCATAAAGTGCCACCTCTGAGTTGGATGGCTGAAACAAAGAAAAGAGAAGCACCGAACTGCTCTAGGCCATATAGCTATCAGATGGAACAAGGAAGCCAAAGACCACAAAAACAGCCCGTATGGTGACAACTGCCCCAGTGAAGAGTCTCCCTAAAGATACAAGAAAAAATACACTGTTGTTTTTAGTGTATTATTAACATAATGGAGATGAGACCCGGAGTGAAGTCTATCTGGCACAACAGACTAGAGAGGTAATTCTAATTGGCCTCCACTGATTCTTGTTTCTACACTCACGGCTGGCTAACGTGTTTCTAAAGCACCTGTGATTGTCATATGTAGCCAGCTGTTGCAAACTGCAGTGATTTTAGTGTATCATAGGAAGATAGGAACAGACAACCCGTGTCAGACTGGGTTCCTCTTTTCCATAACACCATTGCTGACAGCAGCTAATAGCAGATGTCAAGGGGAAAGATTATGAACAGGGTGAATAGGGAGTGTTTCATTCTTCCTACAGTCTGCAGCTTCAGGACTTCCAGAGCTGGAGGTGAGGGTTTTCTGCTTAAATAGCTGTCAATGCTTTTTTTCTGGCTGCTCTCTGCCTTTGAGATCCTGATTCAGTGCAGTGAGGGACCACTGCAGTGATTAACTGGCCTATGAATATTACCTCATATCAAAAAACAACAAGGTTTCTGGTTGTATCTCACATGGAATAAATTTACCTATATGTTGCCTACACTAATCCCTCTCTTTTAGATATCTAGCATGTCCATCACTAATGAATCTCCTTGTCGCCACCCAGAAAAAAAAACTTACCAAGTACTTTTAGGGTACTGGTGACGTAAATATATTTACTCTTCCCTTTGTTTTGGCTCCATTCCCACTCTTCCCCAGCTTGTGCTATAAAGGGGACACTGTTCTCTTTTTTTTTTTTCTTTTTTTTTCTTTTTTTTCCTGACAACTTGGGTTGAAAGCCTTCAGTCATACATAACATTACCTTTCCACCTTCTCTTTTGTCAGCCATGAGATTAAGTCCCTTGAGAATAACCTTCCAGGAGACACTTAACACATTTGGGTTTTTTTTGTGGGGAGAGTTAAAGAGAACTTTATATCACTCTTGGCATAGGTCCTAATTCTTAGAATGAGACCTGAGCATTACATAACTTTTGGCAAACACTTTGTTTCAGGTGATGGGTTTTGGTGGGGACTCTTCTCTTGTCATCAACAAAAACGGATCTGCTTCTGTCTGTGATTTTTCCTCTTAGAATAGAAGGGGGGGAA